ATGGGGAGGTGATACCGGTGAGTGGTGGTTCCCAACGGGGCAGCAGGCTGGAGCGCGCTGCTCGAGCAGCGGGGCCGAGGGCTCGTCCCGCACCAGCCTGTGCTCGGGTCGGTAACCTCTCGCGCGGGAGGCTGCCCTCGGACACGAGTTTGCTTTTCAGATCTTGGCTGTCACTGCAATTGTTGTAGTGCACTTTGTTCTTATTACGGATAATATCTTTGCATTGCCATATATTCTTGGTGGCAGTTATTGAAAACTTTTTCCAAAACGGGGAGAGGGGCGGTGTGTATATAAACATAACTTGATTTTTCTGTTCTGGGATAAAGCACCAACTTTCTTTTCTTTTTTCATCAAGCCTTGCAATAAACATGCACTTCATGAAGCCACCAAGCTCCAAAGGCTATGTGCATTAGCTTACTAGTAAGTTAGCAATCTTACCGTATACCATAAATTTATATGCCTCAAACTTTTCTCTTTCTTCTTGTGTTGTAGTTTCTAGGATTTTGTAAGAGAGAGTGCAAGTGTAGGCTCCAGACATAGACTCCTTAAACCCCATCACCACCAGCTTTCCTGTTTCTGTCAGGTTCACGTACGCTCGCCCTAGAACAGAAACAGGAAATATTTGGTTACTGGAAATGTTCAGTTGCTGATGCTCTGCTCGTTTAGAACATTTGAAGATGAGATCTTGCTCTTGTCCATAACGACACTGATTAGTCTGAAACAGCCTAATTTATGACCTTTAGGACTTATTGCAAGTTTCCTTCTATCTCAAACATTTGAAAATTTTAGAGGGAGAGGAGAAACATAGTCTGATGTCGGAGCTCATTGAAAAATCTGACAAAGAACCAAGTGACTCTTTGGACCCATCATCCTGCTGCAGGGTGGCACCAAGAGAAACAAGGAAAATAAGTGATTTCATGTACGGGAATCTACTTAGCCTTTTGTGGTTGGCTTTTTCCCTTGTAAACAGAGAACAGAAACCATTTCTCTGTCTCAGCATATTTTCCTGATTGCCTCCCCGGCCCTCGAGGCAGAGGCTGTTTCTAAGTTTGGGAAGCAGCACTGTACAAAGCCTGCTCTGTTGGTGACTGGGGAAAAATGGATGAGGCGGGCAGAGTGGAAATCCTTTGTAGTCCGGACAAAGTGACTAACCTTCTAAATCTTTTCCATCTGGACCAGTCCACAAATACTGGGGATCTATGAGTTCTTCTCGAGAGCGAGCCAAATCCATACACACTAGAAACGGGCTATTTGTAAACACCTTAACGTACACGTTAACTGCAATACAAGAGAACGGGGTAAACGACGTGAAGTGCTTGTTGTGAATGACATCACCCAAATGCTCATTTCCAAACTACATTTAATGTAAAGCTAAGTTTACGTTTCGTGTCTGGACTCGTTCAGCCGCGTTCGCTCCCATCGATATCCGGAACTGTCCGTGGCCGGGCGGGTGCTGACGCTGCAAATCGCGCTCCAGCGACCCAAGGAGCACCCGACTGGGAGCCTGCTGCTGAGCGGGACCCTCACTTGGACATTAACATTTCAGAAGCGCCTGTAGTAGCACCGCGGGACGCATGTCTTCCTAACCCCCCCTGCCCTCGCTACTGCACGCTGTCAGGATCGTGTGCTGGAGTCCACGGCATTGTGTTTAGCTAAGCTCAGTTGTGTCACTTCCCTGTGCAGTGTTGCCTAAATAATGATCACTGGCCTTAAAACCCCTTTTAAAAGTCTAGTACGACTTTAAAAAAATAAGATAAAAAAATATAAGTTTACCTTCATGTTGGATATTGCCATAAACATAATTATTTTCTATGAAATC